TGCCATGAACAAGAGCCTCCCACCCGGATCGTTCTCCCACCGGAACAAGCCGACTCTATGATGACGGAACTAGAGGTTCTCGAGGAGCATACTGTCCCTGCATCCCTGGGGAAAGGTCTTCGTGTACGAAAGCCATCCGTGAAGCTTCGTGATTATGTCACTAACACCACTTTACAACTCGGTCCCTCAATTCGCACTTCACATTCGGCTTCCTCGGGTATGCCTTACGGTTTGACAAAGTACTTAAATTGTGCTAAATTCTCCTTCCCCCACCGAACCTTTCTTGCAGCCCTTCATGCGGAGAGAGAACACTGTGCATTTCTTTGAAGGCTGTTCGGGATGTTAGATGGAGAGATGCCATGGCTAATGAAATTCGGGCCCTCCAAAGTAATGAAACATGGGACATTACTCCTCTACCAGCGAGGAAGAAGCCTCCGGGTTGCAAGTGGATTTATAAAATCAAATATCATTCGATGGGAGCGTTGAACGCTTCAAAGCTCGATTAGTTGTCTTGGGAAATCACCAAGTTGAGGGGATTGACTATGACGAGACTTTTGCCCCGAGTGGCAAAGATGGTCACCATTCGGACGAGTGTTGGCGGTGGCAGTAGCCAAAGACCGGGAACTTCATCAAATGGATGTCCATAATGCTTTTACGCACGGCGATCTTGAGGAAGATGTGTACATGAAAATGCCGTCGGGGTTCTTGGTGTCTCAAAAGAGTATGGTGTGTCGTCTCCGCAAGTCCCTTTATGGTCTTCGTCAAGCTCCTCGGTGTTGGTTTGCCAAGCTCTCAAGCTGCTCTTGTTCAATATGGGTTTCAACGTTCTTCGTCGATCACTCCTTGTTCTTCTTTCGCAAAGGAGATGTCGAGCTCGGTTGTGTTAGTTTACGTGGATGACCTTGTCATTGCTGGCAATCATCATGAAGACATTGCGCAATTCAAAGATTATCTTCATCAATGTTTTCGTATGAAGGACTTAGGGAAATTAAAATACTTTCTTGGGGTGGAGGTTGTCGGATCTCCTACGGGAATTTTCTTGTGTCAACGGAAGTATGCGTTGGACATCATAGCTGAAGCAGGATTGCTTGGAGGGAAACTCGTGTCCACGCCAATCGAAGAAAATCATCGTTTAGCATTGGGCGATGGCGAACTACTTTCCGACCCGAGTCAATATCGACGTCTCGTCGGTCGCCTTATTTACTTGTGTTTTACACGACTGAATTATCTTACGGTGTTCATGTCCTATCTCAATTCATGCACCAACCGCGTCAGGAGCATTGGCGGGCTGCACTCCGCGTGGTACGCTATTTAAAGGGCAGCCCGGGTCGGGGTGTGCTTTTAAAAAGAGAGAGTGACCTTCGTCTTTATGGTTGGTGTGACTCGGATCTGGGCAAGTTGTCCTCTAACTCGAAGATCTCTCACCGGTTGGTTTATTTTCCTTGGTCAATCCCCCGTTTCCTGGAAAACCAAGAAGCAACATACGGTTTCTCGATCATCCGTCGAGGCGAGAATATCGTTCTATGGCCAACACGACATGTGAGTTGAAATGGCTTCAAGGCCTTCTTTCGAGCCTAGACATTACTCACACCGACCCTATGACTCTCTACTCGTGACAACCAAGCTGCCCTTCACATTGCCAAGAATCCTGTGTTTCATGAACGGACAAAACATATTGAAGTGGATTGTCATCTTATTCGTGATGAAATACAACACAATCATATCCAACCCTCCTATGTGTCCACTCATCATCAACTCGGTCGATCTCTTCACCAAATCTCTTGGCGCCACTAAATTTGGTTCTTTTTTAGGCAAGTTGGGCATTCACAACCTTCATACTCCATCTTGAGGGAGGGTGATAAACATAGAATATACGATTACAAATACCGTATCATGCCATGATTCTACATGATTAATGTTTTCCATATTTAGCTTGGCATGACAATGATGCACGATGATGCACATTAATGTCATATCTCGTTAATAGACAAATTTAGGATACCGACTATAATGGTTAGCGTAATTATAGCCTAGAATGTTTACGTATTTCATGTATATATTGTGCTATCATATTCAATACAAGACAAGGGTTTTTGGAAATATTTTTATCATCAAATATAAATAAATTAGTTTTTCTAAACCATTGCAGATATTCTTCAAATCTTATGTCTATGTGAAAAAAAATGTAAAAATAAACTTTGGATGAATTGATTGGAAAGACTTAATAATAAATTTATGATTTAAATTACATTAAATTTATTTTGATCTAACTCTTTTAAATCATAATCTAAATAAATTTAAATCAAACTAGTCTTAAAAATTATAGGTCAAACTATTTTATAAAATAATAATTATTTTTTAATAATAAATTAATATTATTTTATTAAAAAATATACGTATTATAAAATTAATTTAATAAAAGAAATATTATTTATAAAAAAATAAATAATAATAATAATAAAAAAATGAATGGATATCTTTTTTAGTTTATGTATTAAATTATTATATATAAAATAAAAATTAATTTTATTAATATAACTTTAATTTTTTTAATTAACTGTTTTGATATAAATAATATATTTTTATTTTTAATTAGGTAAAATTGTTAATATAATATAGAGTGAAATTAAAAAGAATTCATTCTAAAATATAAATGAGAATGAATTATTAATTTTTTTCTATTTAATTAATAGAATTGAGCCAAATCACAAACGCCAAGATGAGAAAGAGAAACAAGACAACTAAGAAATATAAAAGAAATATTATTTTTCTATAAGTTTTTTATTTAAAAATAGTTTTTTAAAATCAAAGATATCTCTTATTTTGATAGTTGAAGACTAATTCTTTCAAGGTATAAACACAAGTTTGTTCTATATAAGGCTTTCAACGTCGGTTGTGGAAATACACAAATTGTTGAACCGACGTTGAAAGTATGATTTTTTTTCAAATTAATAATTTTTTAAGGAAATTGTCATTGACGTGATTCGAACCCAATACCTTAGAATTGGAGATCGATACTTCAACCACTAAACTATTAGAATTTTCTCGATAATAACTTACAAATAAATTATATGTATATACAAATAAATATATATCCGTGTAAATATATAAATACAAATATATTTATATATTTTTATATATTTATATGTTGGATGTGAGGCACGCTCGAAGGTGAAAGTGTGTGTAGAGTGGGTTTTCAAAATTTGATGCTAAATTTGTAAGCAGTGTCTCTTTATATGAGTTTGTAATTTAATGTCGAATATAATCTTTATAATTTTTTTATATAATGATATAAAATAAATTTGGGAAACGCGTCATTCGCTCTTAGCGAAAAATACCAATTTTCGCTCAAACTAGGCTTGAGCGAGTGGATTTTCGTGAACTTTAAGGTATTTTCACTCGAAGCTATAGTCAATTCTACTTTCACCCTCGATCGAAAAATACCAATATAATTTATTTGTAAGTTATTATAAAAAAATTATAATAGTTTAGTGGTTGAGATATTAGCTTTCAATTCTAAAATACCTGGGTTCAAATGTTATCAATGACAATTCTTTAACTTAAGTGAATTTTTGGCTAAAAAAAAATATAAACACTTTCCAAAAATATATACAAATAAATATATATTTACACGATATATATATATATATATATATATATATATATTTATTTATTTGTATATAAATATAATTTATTTGTAAGTTATTAAAATTATAGTAGTTTAGTGATTCGAGTATAATTTTCAATTTTAAAATACGTTCGAATATTGTGAGTCACAATTTTAGGGTGAAAAAAAAAACAAAAGACTTTCCTAAAATAATTTTATACTGCAATGATCAGATTATTAGTTAATAATAAAGTTATCTCGGTTAATTTATTTTCATATGATGAGGGTCAAGAAGAAACTTATTTTTGTTATTTTAAATAACTATTTAAAAATGATATTATTTAGGATTTATGATTAGATCACTGTGCAAAACTATTTTATCATTACATATATAATTCGTTCATAGCTCTCAAAGTTATTAGAAACACCTCGGTTTCACGATATTATGTGAGTAAAATGAAAAAAAAAAAAAAAAAAAACTATAGACGATGTGAAGTGTACTTACCAGAACATGTTAGAAGAATGACAATTTTTTATACTAATTGGAGTATTAATGAAGTAAATATGTTATGTTTGTTTAATTTATAAGTTTATTTTATTCAAATGAATTACTAGCAACAAATTTTTTCTCTTATATAATTTTGTAAAACAATGATTTTTTTTTTTGCTTAAATTGCATAAATATTTTTGTCTTGGAGTGTAGCATTGAATAGGGAGAGAGAGTAGTGACAGTGGCGGGTCAAAATACTTCCCATTAGTGGTCGGTATGGCGGTGGAGCTTTGCGCAGGGCATGTGAGAATGCCTCAGATTCCATTCCTTTCTCTCTCTCTATCTCTATTCATACCGCTCCATCTTTAACGGTCATATTTTTTTAGCCGTTGAACCCTTCTTTTTTAAATTATCCCCCCTTTCAATTGTCCTCCCAACACACACTATTTCTCATTATTATATATCTTAAAAAGCATAAAACCCACTAAACAACACTTCATCACTCAAACAAACATCTTCTTCTGTTAATCCTTCATTCATTCATTCATTCATTGTTCATTATTTTATTATACAAAATTTGTTTATCTTCAAAATTATTTGCTTTTAAATAAATTATAATATAAATTATAAAAAGTATTTTATAAGCAAAAATAAAAATAAAAAAATGAAAGTGTGAGATACCGCTTTTGAAGATTATAGAAAGAGACTTTACTCTTGTACTTAGCATCACCAACCCCAAAGGAAAATTAGCCATAACTTGATCTGACGGTCCAAATCGCATCACAGAATTGCTAACAAATACTACTATAAATACCTTCCTTTCTCTCCTCTCCCAAAGTTCTCAGCAATCACACACCGTAACGTACAGGCGAAGAAGGTAAGTTTGAGAAAAGAAAAAGAGAAATGGGTTATGTCTCTGTGAAAGTGATTCTAATCTCCACCGGGGTCTTATCAATGGCAATGGGTTTGAAACTCACACTCCCTTTGCTATCGCATTTCTTCCTCACCGAAGCCCCGCACGTGTGGACCTTCTTCCTCACGTGCTTCACTCCTCCCTACCTCTATATCCTCCTCAACTTCATCATCCTCACCATCGTTGCTTCCTCCAAACTCAACAACCACCACCACCAACACTCTCCGGATAACACCCTCCTCCTCCCCTCCGACCCGCCAATCTACGACCGTCCACCCGCTGCTGTTCAGATCCCCGCTCCGGATACCGTTGACCCCTCCGCTGCCGTACAAACGGACTACACCGTCTCCTCTGACGAATACCTTTACGAAACGAAACCCACGGTAAACTACGATGTGGTCACGGAAGTTAACGGCTCTGTCGGTTGCGTTTACAACGAGAACACGCCGGTGAAACCTACTGTTCACGGCGACGATGCCGTTGGCGTTCTCTCTCCGAGCGTGCAGAGGAAAGATTCCTCGGATTTCGCGTTCGCAGATGAGAACGAGAAACCGCCCGTTTCTGCCAGATTCAGTAACCGGAAAGCCGTTAGAGCCAGTCCCGAAGGTATAGTAATTCGTAATCCAGCTTCAACGGTATTACTATTTATTTATTTATTTACGTATTTTTTGAAGTTTGAAATTGAAAACATAATAAGAAAAAATAAAAGTGAAATCGTTTTGAAAAATGTTGAACAAAGCAAAAGCTCGTTAGATGGATGCTTATGCTCTTAATCGCATAATCAAAGTATATTAAACAACTATTACGTAAGGTAGTAAGATGAAATTTCAAATCTAATTTAGAAGTAATTATATATAAATGTTGTTTGATACAACAAGTTTATAATTAGAATTGAAATATTGTTGTATGATGACATATCCGAGTTGGTTTGGTTATGTTGTGGTGGTTCAGGGGGGAAGGTGGTGGCGTTGGGAGTGGCGAAGGCGAAGAAGCAAGAGACGTTGGAGAGCACGTGGAGGACGATAACCGAGGGGCGAGCGATGCCGTTAACTCGGCATTTGAAGAAGGCGGAGACGTTGGAGACGCAGGGGACGCCGCTGAGGGATTTGAACGGCGGATCTGTGATGAAGAAGTCGGAGACGTTCGCGGGGAGGGAGAAGAACGCGTCGACGAGGCTGAAGAAGGAACCGTCGCTGAGTCAGGACGAGTTGAACCGCCGAGTTGAAGCGTTCATCAACAAGTTCAACACGGAGATGAGGTTGCAGAGGCAGGAATCGCTGAGGCAGTACAGGGAGATGATGAATCGAGGAACTCACTGACACACACAACAACACGTTTTGCTTCACTCACTGATACAATTATCCAATTTGGGGGAAAACAAAGAAAACAACACTTTTAGGTTTTGGAACCAGCGAGGATGGTGGAGAGGGTGATCAAACAAGGATTTGTGTGTTGCATGAAAGAAATACAATTTGGAATAGAAGGAAAGTTTTTGTTTAGTGTGAATCATGGAAAATGTTTTGAGGATATTTTTCAATTTCCATGAATTGGATTATTATTTTTTTGGTTCTTTATTATGTTAATAGTGGACCTGCATATGCTTTTAATATAAGAGGAAGAGTTTGAACTTCTTATGCTTTGAATGCACAGTGATAACTGAAAGGATTATATTTTTTTTTTTATCAGAACTGAAAGGTTTAATAAATATCTTGTTAACTTTGTTCATGTTATTTATTTTTAGTCTATGAAAACTCTTTTCCAGTTTTTACAATTTATTATGCTTTAATGCTGTAGAAAAAAAATCTTTGTTCATTTTAGAGATTAAAATATAAAAAAGCTAATCCTGAAAGAACTAAAACGAGAAAAGCAATAAATAAATAATTATTTAAAATATCACAATATGGTTGGAGGCTATGTATGCTATGTTAAGAAATGTGAAAAACACAAACGCGAGGTTTTCATAGGTTTGAATTTGAAGGGATGGATAATTATTTGAATTGGAGTTTACATGTGTTTGGATTGGAAACTCGATGGAAGCTATTGTGCTGCAAATTTTGGAAGCTACAACATGCCTGTAAAGATCAATAATTTCTTTAGGTAAAACTTACAAATATAATTAGATTAAATATGTTTTTATTGTTTGTAATTTTAGTTAATTTTAATATTGGTTTTTATATTTAAAAAAATAATCAATTAATCATTCAATTTATAAAAATATGTTACTGTAATTCTATTTATTACTTAAATTTAATATTTAATAAATATTTTTTTAATTAATATAATTGATAAAAAAAATTAAATTTAATATTTGATGATATTTTTATTGTTATAAATTTAACAAAAAGCTAAATTTATATATTTTTAAAACTTGAAAACTAATTAAAAAAAAATCAAATTTACAAATTAAAAATATAGGAAAAATCATATTAAACCCGGTTAGATATTTATTTTCAGTAATCATATTCTTAAAGTAATAAAACTTAAGGAATGAAAAAATGGAATAGGCACCAAAAGTGACCGGAAGATCCGTGGTTTTAGTTGAGTTCGTTTTAAAATATTATTTATATATTAAAATAAAAAAATTATAATTAATCTATATATTTTTTATTATGTTATTAAAATATATAAATATATTATAATATTATAATATAATTATAAAAATTAATTAATTAATTTAAAATATAAATATAATAATTTTTAAATTTATATAATTAAAAATATATTTTAAAAGAATACATATAAAAAAGAATTTATAGCGCATCTAACTGTAACGGAATCAATTTATCTCATTTTGAATGAATTAAAGATGAAATGAAACCTACTAAAACAGCCAGTTTCAAAAGTTGTTGATGACTAGAAACCAAACACATACTTATAAATTCTCATTAAAAGTGAATATATGTAAATACGTTACGTAAGTATGTACGGCTTCATGAACGCTATTAAATGGAATACAAAATTTCCTTAATAAGAGGTACTTCTAACAATAAACAGCAATTAATTTAATTATTACTTTTTAAATATTTCTAATATATCAAATTAGCTTTCATTATTAATAATGGTTAAGACAATCTTTTCACTATTCATTGGTACGAATAAAGAAAGAAAGAAAGAATGCATGAACGATGAAGCAAGCTCTGTTATGCAGAACGCATGTCACCATGAAGCAATGATCTAACCATGAGGTGTTGGCATATTGGATAACGCATGGTGTTTGAGGAAAGTAGTGACAACCTCTAATTATTATTTTGCCTTTCTCATTCATTCATTAATTCAATTTCTCGTGGAAAAAGAAGAAGAAAAAAGAGTAAAATTGCAAGCACAAAACTCCAAGGTTTGCCTCTTGGCTCCGTTGCTTAAAAGAATTCTCCACATTCTTCTACAATATTGAAACTATTTCTTCATAATCAAAATTAACATCACAATGAAAAATATCATGAAACAAAGAACAAAGAAAATATATATGAGTACGAATGATGTCATGACATTGCACTATGCAATTTGAAGCAAGCTAACTAGGCAGAGTCATGTTATTTAATAGTTGTACATTGCAACATTCTAAGATGAGACATAATGGCCAATTCTTACATTTAGTGTAGTTGTTGGGAATGAAATTGCATTTATTTCACCACAGATACATATAATGGATCAGAATACCCTTTTTGTTTGAGAATTTTTTTTTTCTTTATATTTTCAAAACAATTTTCAATTTTCAAGATTAAGATAATAACTGCATTATATATATATATATATATATATATATATATATATATATAGAAATAGAAAAAAAAAAACAGAAATATCTATTTGTATTAATAATATGAAAAGAGTGCGACGTTTTCATTCGGTCGTCGTGCTGCTTTCCCTGCGGCATGATTTACAGTTGTTTAATATACAATTCACGTTATATTTTTTTTATTTTTCAGTTTTGTCCTATTTTATTTTTCTTTGTTATCTTTGATTTCTTTTATTAGGGTTCTCTTATAAATTTTTAAGATATAGTATATAACAGAGATAAGACTTTACATAAAATTTATATTTGTTTTTTTTTTCTTATTAATTATTATTTATCATTTTTTAGGTGTGCGTGTATACTACTATTCTAATAGTATTGTAGAATTTTATTATGGTATTAGAGCGAATTGATCCTGTTTTTGCGCACATATTTTTTTATTTGATATCTATAAATTGTTATTTTGTATTTTTTTTTTTTTCCTTCTCTTAGATGCACATGAATTCATCCATCAATAAGTTGAAAGTATCATGGATCCCTTACAAAATCCATCTTCATTCCGAGAGAACCCTGGAATGGTCCTCATTAACATCGAGTTGAATGGATCAAATTATCATTCTTAAAGTAGGGTAATGAAAAGAACTCTTTTATCCAAAAACAAATTGGAATTCGTTGATGGTAATATCAATGCTCCTAATCGAGGATCTACAATTTATGATGTGTGGAAAAAATGTAATGTTGTGGTAATTTTTGGGGCTACACAAGCTGCTCAAATTGCTTAAAGTGTAATATACATTGATAATGCTAGAGATTTGTAAGAAGATTTAAGAGAAAAATTCTCTAAAGGTGATCATTTGAGGATATTGGACTTGTTTCAAGAAATTCATTCGATTAAACAGGGTGAGAGAAACATTTCAGAGTTTTTTTTTTACAGATCTTAAAATCTTATAGGAAGAACTTGAATTGTTACGTCCTACACCCAGTTGTGTTTGTGATATCAAATGCAGTTGTGATCTCGCTAATACTATTTTGAGACATAAGGAATTCGAGAAAATTATATTTCTTGAAATGTCTCAATGATGCTTATGTCATGGTATAAACTCAAATATTATTAATGGAGTCTCTACTAAACATGAATCGGGTCTTCTCTCTTGTTCAACAACAATAAAAAATTAACTGGAGGTTTCCATGCTGACAGCAAAACGCTTGTGAATGTCTCCAACAATTAGAACAATTGGAATCAAAATAACTGGAAGCAACCCAATAAAGGCAATAATGACAACTTGAAACCTCAAGGAAGAGGAAGGGAGAGGGACTCAAATAATGGAAAATAGTGTAGCTTTTGTCAAAAAATGAATTATATTGCAGAAGAGTGTTATTTTAAGCATGGGTACCCTCCCTGGTATAAACAAAAAAAACCAGCATATCACTAACAATGTGGTTACCGATGATGATTCTAACAATAAGGATACAAAGAACAACAACTTTGATAATCAGGGGATGAATCAAGAAAATATTCAAATGAATCAAAGATCAAATACAATAGATTATCAAGCTCCTGCAAGATTCCAAAATAGACACTACACATAAAGCAAATAGTTACATAGGTGAGTCCTCGCATGACATTGCTCAAAGAGATAATCAGATCAAGAACATGGGTTCTTGACACAGGTGCTACCAATAACGTAGCTTGCACTTTATCTCAATACACTAGTTTCCAAAAATAAAACCCATTCGGGTTAAATTGCAAAAATGGATCTTTTGTCACAACACAGTTTTCTGGAACCATAAAATTTTCTGATTTTCTTTACATATGCAATGTTCTATATATTCCTGAATTTACTTTCAACATCATATATGTTCAAAGAATGATTTGATGTTTTGAATTGTAAACCGATTTTCTATTTCAAGATGTGCCATATTCAAGATTCACAATCTCAAAGAGTGATTGGATGTGTTGAACTTTGTAATGGTCTTTATTACTTAAAGCAACATGCAGATGAACTTGTTTTCAATTGTGTGGAAGATCACAACCATCAAACTGTCGATAAGAACTTTGATCTTTGACATTTCAGACTTGGGCATCCTTCTGATAATGTTTTGAAACACGTTTGTAATAAGTTTCCCTTATATACATTTTGATAAAAATAATATATGAGATTCCTGTCATCTAGCTAAATTGCACAAGTTACCTTTCCATCAAAGTGACTCCAAGTTTGTTGAAATTTTTGAGCTCATTCATGTAGACATATGGGGTCCAATTGCTACACCCTCTCTACATGGTCATAAATTCTTTCTCACTATTGTGGATAGCTTTAATAGACATACATGGATATTTATGATGAAAACCAAGAGTGAAGCTAGAATTGCTTTGCTAAATTTTATCAACATAGTATATAATCAGTTTAACATAAAAATCAAAATTGTTCGATCTGATAATGGCCTGAATTTTGGTTGTGCGGATGACTATAACAAGCTTGGTATCATACACCAAACCAGATGCATTGAGACACCTCAACAGAATGTCGTGGTTAAACGCAAACATCAGTACATTGCAAATGTTGTTGGAAGTCTTTTGTTTAATTCAAATTTTACTATTGTTTACTGGTCTTATGTTGTTTCTCATGCTATTCATTTGATTAATAGGATTCCCACTATTGCTATTAATAACAAAATACCTTATCAATTAGTTTACAAACAACCCTCTGATTTACAAGAACTTAGAATCTTTGGATGTTTATGCTATGTTTCCACCCTTGACAGAGGAAGAACAAAGTTTGATCCTAGACCAAAGAAATCTATTTTCTTAGGGTACAAGCGTGGAACTAAAGGATATAACACACTTGACATTAAAACTAGGGAAATATCTATTTCAAGAAATGTTATATTTTATTAAAGTTTTTTCCCTTTAAAATTGATAATATTGAGAATAGAACTGTTAGGGAAAATTACTTTGGTTTCAATTTTGAGCTACCCATTGGACAACATGTTCCAAGTACTTCCAATGATAATCAAAAGGAAGAATACATGGATGATGATAGACATTTTAGAAAACTACATAAAACAGAATAGTTTCTTCCTTCTTAAAAGACTATCATCACAATATCGTCAACACAACACATAGCAATAACGAATAGGTAAATTTTCCTCTATCATCTGTTTTAAGCTATAACAAATTATCTAGAAAATACTTGTAGTACACTCTTGCTTTGTCCACTAATAAAGAACCAAAAATTTACAATGAAGTTGCTTAATCACCTAAATGGCACAGTGCTATGAAAAAGGAAATATCAACCTTGGATTTAAACAATACCTGGGACATAATAGAACTGCCTAATGGAAAGGAACTCATTGGATGCAAATGGGTCTACAAAATAAAATACAAAGTTGATGAAACCATTGAACGTCACAAGGCAAGATGGGTTGCCAAGGGGTACAACCAACTTAAAGGAATTGATTTCTCTGAAACATTTTCGCCTGTGGCCAAGATGACCAAGATTAGAACCCTTCTTGCCTTAGCAACCACTCAAGATTGGTTTCTAAGACAACTTGATGTTGATAAAGCCTTCCTTCACGGGGATCTTGAAGAAGAGGTTTATATGATGCTTCCACTTGGATTAAGTGCAGAAGGAGAAAACAAAGTTTGTAGGCTCAATAAATTTCTCTATGATTTGAGGCAAGCTAGCATACAGTGGTTTGCCAAGTTGTCTTATTTCCTTAAAAGTGTTGGTTTTGTTCAATCTAGTGCCGACTCATTCCTTATTCATCAAGAAAAATGATACTACCTTCACAACCTTGCTCATTTATGTTGACGATGTTATTTTAATAAGTAATTCTCTTTTTGAATTCAACATATTACGTCTAAACTAGATCTGGTTTTTAAAGTGAAGGATTTGGGAGACTTAAAAATTTTCTTGAGTCTCGAGGTTGCTTGATCAAAAAATGGGATACATCTTTACCAACGCAAGTAAAGGACTCAACGTCTTAGAAGAAACTGGTCTACTAGCAGCGAAACCAAACTCTACACCCATGATAAAAGACACTAAGTGTTTCTTTGATAAACAGACCCCTCCTTGTGATGCCAGTTCATACCAAAAACTCATAGCTAAGTTACTTTATTTAACTAATACAAGGCCCAACATCAGTTATACTATTCAATTCCTTAGTCAATTCTTGAAGACTCCCACTATCTATCACTTTAGTGGTGCTTAACGTATCCTCAAATATGTAAAGGTTGCATCAACACAAGGTATTATTTTCCCAAAGGACTCCACCGCTCAATTACAGGCCTTTAGTGATTAGGACTAGGCTTCATGCCTAGAAACCATTGTTTCATTCAGTGGCAGATCTTCTTAGGAGTTGAGGGGGGGCCGTGGCCCCCCCAAAGTTTTATAACTCCCATGTAATTTATGATTTTGGTCCCCCCAAACTTAATAAACATTTAATATATTTATTTGTATATTTACAATTCTATCCTCTCAGCCCCTCCTCAATTTTGTAACTCCCATGTAATTTATGACTTTGTCCCCCTCAAACTTAATGATCATTTAATATATTTAAATATATATCTACAATTTTATCCTTTTACCCTTTCATCTTCTTTCTTCCTTTTATATTTATTTATTATTTATTAATAATATATTATTTTATATTTATTTATTATTTATTAATAATATATTATTTGGACTCCCCAAGATCAATAGTCAAGATCCGTCACTCGATTTCATTATTGGCTAATGTATTTTTCTTGGATCTTCTCTCATCGACTTCACACACACACATATATATATATATATATATATATATATATATATATATATATATATATATATATATATATATATATATAAATATTGCACCAACAAGGTCTTTTTCAAAAGACTTTACCCCTCAATTAAAGATCTTTAGTGATTCGGACTGGGCTTCACGCCAAGAAACTCATCATTCCATTATTGACTAGTGTGTTTTTCTTAGTTCTTCTCTCGTAAGCTTCAAAAAAAAAAAAAAATATATATATATATATATTAAATTAATAAACATTTTATAATAAAATTTTTTCAATAATATTATAAAAAATTATAAAATATTTGTAATATATTTTAAATTTATAAATAAATTAGGTATTATAATAAACATATTATAAAGTACAATAAACGTAATCATCAAAGAAATATATAATTATGTATATTTACTAGATAACTAATTTTGGATATATAATATTATATATAAACAAAATATATTATTTAATTTAATTTAATTTAATTTTTAATTTTAAATATGAATGAAATATTATGGTTTTGAAAAAAAGAGTCTAATTTTGATCTATTTTTAATTTTTTGGATCGATTTATAGTTATATTTTTATCGATTATTTTTTTTTATGGATTGAGTTTTAAATACACCTATGTGACTGCTGATATAGGAAAGGAGCAACAATAAATACATGGTCAATTGAGAAATTTGTGTTATCTTTTCTGCATAATTAATAGGGTCTTGTGCTGCAAATTTTTTTCTTTCTAACTTGGTATATGTTGGGTGTAACTTCTCATATAATTTAATACGTTTCTACTAATTTAAAAATTAATAGTTATGATTAAATGAAGTGAATGATTAAAATTTCATCATAAAAAAATGCAAATTAATGTTAATTAGTATATTACAAAAAAGTACCATAATTCCAATAGATAAGTTAAATTTGTATCCTCTAAATTACCTATATCGAATAAATTTAAATGAAGAAATAATTATTAATTGAGGTCTTAAAGAAAGAATAATGTATTACTTTTGAGTTGTGGATGCAAAACAGTGAATTTCTACGTCTTTATTAAAATTAATTAGAAAAAAATTATTTTAGAAAGTAAGCTTATTTTTCATCTTATTAACAATTTTTAAATTTGTTTAATCCACAACCAATGATAATGATTGAATAACCTATGATATTTATAATATTTTTATATTATAGAGGCCCATTGCATGTACTTCTTAAGAAAATAGTAATAAAAAAAGAAAAATTAATCATATGTTTTTACTCTTACTCCAACACTATCAATTTTTCAAATCAAATAACTCTCAAAACAGTATTTCAGCCTAGTTTTTGATGTTATGAAATGAAGTAAAATATTTCAATTATCTAATAATTATATTTTAAAATAAACCAAAATTTTTAATCTAATTTAGTCCTATGTTAGATTATCGAATTAACAAACTAATTTTAATCTAATTAATTTTTTTTAAATATTAACCTATTTATACCAATGATTAAAAAAATATTAAAAAAAAATATTTTAAAAATTTATTTTTTATTAATAAAATTAGTTTTTATTTAAGATAATTTAATATATAAATTATAAAAAAATACATTTATTTAATATCATAAGAATTAAAATTTTATTCTTTATTATTATTATTATTATTATTTATTAATTTAAAATAATAATTAATTTTAATTATTATATCTTAAAATAATCGGTGATTAAAGTTTTATCATCATATTTATTTTAAAATAAGTAAATCTTTTGATAAATTAATTTATTAACTAAAATAATATTACTTTTATTTTTATTTAAAAATAATTATTATTTTATAAAAAAATCTATTATAATAAGGCTAAAGAATAACTTAACCTAAATCCATAGTCTAAATAAATTAGATTAAAATAAATCTACTTCTTCAATTTAGGTCAAAACTAACTTATTTTTTCCTAGAAGTCATTAGACTAAACATTGTGACCCCTTTAATTTTTAAGTTCCAGTATCAAAATAAAAAAAAATTATATATTTTTAGTTTCTTAATTTAAATAGAATTAACAATTTTATATGTTTTTAATGAAATATCAGTTAACTGGTTTCATTACACCCTCTATGATTGTGACCATGACTTTTCTACCAAATCATAAGATGATCAAATCATGGGAATTTTGATGAATCAGAAACAAAATATCATATCAGTGTTGTGTTGCTGAAGCAAGTAACGAGAGATGAGGATGATGACATTAATAACAAACTACTCAACAGACAAAAAGAACGACGATTTTTTTTTTCCTTTTATCAATCTACACCAAACTTTCCTTTTGGGTTTGATGTTCCTTAAACTATGAAAAAGAAAAACACAGTGACGGAGAACTGAAACCATCTCATGCAAATGCCAATTATTAATCTATAGAATCCAATTCTATCATAGATTGGAGCTTATTACAGACAGCGTAGCACAAATTATTCTCCTCGAATAAGTTTCCTTGCACAATCATTGCAACAAATCTTTCCCAAAAGCGTAAAGTGAACTTCATTCTTTGACACAACGCATCCACAATGCAACCTCTGAAAAATCAAGTCCATAGAGATTGAAAGTAAAAACACTTTTGCAGGCACATGAATCTCTTATCTGCTCAAGAAATTAAAATGAGCAAACATTTAAACCTTACCTTGTTGCAAATTATACAATCTTCCCATCCACCGTGATCCCAGTGAAATGTCTCACAGAAGCTTCCATCTTCGAAATGAGAGCTACATTTTCAAGGTTGAAACCAGTTATGTAAGGAAATTATGAAGATGAATCAAATTCTAAATGATGTAAATAGAGAATTACAATATGGAAGTGCAAATAAAACAAGTGTGAATGTGTGGATACAAGGCCATGAAGGAAAGTACAATACCCTTTACCACACTTATCTCTAAAAATCTTTGTGAGTAAATAAAACAGAACAACAATATGATCCCAGAAACCCATCAAGAACTTATAAAGATTAGTAAATATATAAGAGCATGAAGGAATGTATAACAAAATGTACATCTATTGAAGAAAGAAGAAAAAAAAAAAAAGAATAAAAGATGATTATAGATGAAGAAAAAGAAGGTACCCGCATCTGTTACAGAGCTGAGCTACAGTGCCATCGTCAAGCGGCCACCCGTTAATGAAGGTTGTTATCTCGGACTTGCAATGAAAGCATTGGAGTTTGTCGTCGCTGCATGTGGAAGAAGAAGATGATAATGATGATGATGAAGAAGCCATTGAAGCTCTCAGCGAGACACAAAACACAGAGAGAATTGTGAGAGAAACAGAAACTATTAGAGTGAACAAAATGAAAGCCAAGCAAGCCATGCACCATATACGCTACTTAAATACAAGCCGCGCGGAATATTAAGTAACTTCAAACTAAAATCAATACATTATAATAAAAAAAATATTAGTAATATAGCAGTATTTGTAACCGTAAAAAAATAATTATACGTAACATATATATATATATATATATATAATTAAAATACATAAAATAATTCAAAATATAAATTTTTTCTAAGTAGAAAAATATATGTATACATATTTATCATCTAAAATATAAACAAATCATAAATCTATATTAATTATAGTTTTAGACCTACGATAATCATCCGAATTCAGAGCAACATACAAAACACAGAGTAATTTATTAATTCAATTTAATAATGTAAATTCAAATATGAGATTAAATAACATAATTCAACTTCAAATTTTTATTTATCACACCACACACATTTATAGACTCACATTAACGTCACACATATATTAGACAACTTCCAGAAGACTAGATATTGAAATAGATATCGAGATATGCACCTATCATACTACAACTTATTTTGATCATAACTTTTTCTGTAAACATTCTTTTTAACTAATTTTTATTTTATTAGATTTCTTATTTTTGGGGCTTCAATTTGCAGATATAGAACATTTAATTTGGAATTCAGAGCTATTTTGTATGATTTGTTAAAAACAGTTAAGCGAATTTGAAAGCGTTGAGTGAATTTTAAATCCGCTGAGTGAAATTTTGACAAAATGGAAAATCCAACACCGTCTAAAATCCGTTGAACAAATTTGAAAGCATCGAGTAAAATTCAAGCGTTTTCAACATTGCCTTAAAGTAACTGAGCAAATTTAAATTCATTGGGCGGATTTGTGACAGTAGCACACTACATAATTTGCTTAATATCCTGCTTATAATGATCCAAATCAAATTAAATCTAAACGTTACCTTCAAAATTATAAATTAATTCACTAAATTCAATTTAAGAACACTACATTCTTACAAAAAACTATAATTTTCAATCTCATAGAGATTAGTTATACATTCATATTCAATATAATCATCACAAATCAACACATACATAATCACATAACCCAAGTTCCTGAAACTCAAATAATGTGACCAAGTAACATTTACAATTCAGATCCTCTAACTTAGAGTAATGTAGAAATTGAATAATAACTAACTTTCTTTACCTCGAACACAATGTCTCCAAGTTAAATAATCCAAAAAACTCCTAAATTTTCAAGAAGATAGATCTTAATCACATAAAACTCAAATTAACAAATTGAGCATATCATAATATTTCTAAACTAGCTAAGATTGTTCATAACAAAGTTTACATGCAAGTTAGAAGGACCTACATTCATACCTAAACTTAAAATATGTAAAAATGGTCTAAAATTATAAAAAAAGAGAAACTTACTCTATTTAAAATTCTAATTAAGTAGAAATGATCTTTTCTCCTTCAAGAATACTAAGGTGTGTTTGAATCTAGAAAATAGAAAAGAGAGTAAAAAATTCAGAAAAAAGACAAAAAAAAAAATAGAATTGTAGAGAGATAGTAATTTGAGAAGAAAGAAGTTAAATAGTTAAATTTTTTTCATTTATAATTTTTAGCTGTTAGTTATACCACTTTTACTTTTAACTCACCTAAACTAATTTATTAATGTATTTAATATTAATGAATAAATTTATTATAACAGTCGTTAAACTATATTTACTTAAAAGATTATTTATCATAATTAAGTTATGCTAAAGTAAGACGCACTTTTTATTTAATAATAATAAAACCTTCACACTTGGTTTTCATTGAAAGAGAAAGTAACGTAGGTGGGAAAAGAAACTGAATAGATAAAAAAATAGATTGGAAAATGAAATTGCTTAATTGATAAAAAAAAGGTTGAAATATAATCGATAAATTGTTTAGTTAAAAAAAGAGAAATAAATTTTACGTACTATTTATTTAAACTTTTAAATTACAAGATAATGCTTACGCACTATTTATTTAAATTTTTAAATTAAAACATTATATAATCCTAGTTATTTATAATTAATTTAAAATTAATTATATAAACATTAAGACAATCCATTATATGCACCTACGAATATAAATAAATATAATAACTGTTTATCCTAATATATTATATAAATTATTTATTTTATATTACAGATTATATTAATATTATACATATAAATATGATTATTCGATGATAAAATAGATTAATATTAATCGTCTTAAATTAGTAAGTCAAATTAATAATTTTATCTCATCAGATGAACAAATTAATTCATTTCTAATAAATATTTGTATATTAAAATTAAAATAAAAAATATTATATTTTTATATTATATTATTAAAATGTATTATAATATTATAATTTTAAATCATAAATATTAATAATTAAGTTTAAATTAATTATTATAATTTAATATTTTAATTTTTTTATTCATCTAATAAAATATATATTGACCCTGTAATTGCTTCAACTTAACTTCTTGAAATCAGCTAGTTTTAATAGAATAATACATACAATCATAAATCATAATTACCATAAGGATGCAGGATGCAACAAAAAAAGGAGGCTTCATTCCTTAAAAAGAAAAACTCTTCACCTAACAATTGATTATATTTAGCTAAAGGCATACATCTTGTAAGATGAAGTATGAAAGTTTTCCTGGTGATACGAGGCACTTAATTAAGCATTCATTCGTAGAGTGTTTTTGCAGATTGAACTCTGCTTCTTTTGTTTTCATTCTTGGACACTTTCTCAATGGACTTCTCGTTAGCGGATACAGCTTTTGCTATTGCTTTCTTCTTTCGGACATTTTTTGATCTCTTCATAGGCCTTCCTTTCAGCTTCATCTTCCTGCTTTATAAGGGATCCATAGTTAGAGGCTGTTTAGAAGAAGCAAATATTAAGAGAGCACCTACATCATATCTTTTTGCAAACATCTGGAATACATGATGCAGATAATTCATATTTCAGCTGCCACAAAGTTAAATACACTGGTTAAGGGGAAACAATGTTAATAAGTGCTTTTTATAGTTGAAGTGAAAACGCAAACAATTTAATACTAAACGTTTTTGAGTAATTGAAAGCCCTTAATAAAATCTATTACATGCTTCTTAACCACTGTCTTTAGAACAGTAGGCAATACTCTCAAGAAAATATCATTCGTGTGTTGTTTAACAACAATCACAATTCGATTTTTTTTTTTCAATATAATATTTAATTAACTAAATAGATCCTATGTTACTTTATTTATTGAAATAGACATGTTTCCCATACCAAGATAGAATTTGATATCTGGAAAATCAATTTCCAAATGGAGACACATATTCGTGACATCAACAATCAAAATTCGGTTCTCGACCAAATTCTGAACTACGTTTCCATTTTTCAATTTTTAACAAGTTATTAATTTTATTGTGAAGTATGTGAAAAGTTTAAAGAGGAAAGTAATATTATTTATGATGTTAAGAATTAATTTTAAATAAAATATTAATATAACATAGATTTTGTTTAATACTATTTTATATTATTTAAATCTGATTACTATATTTTTATATTAATATTAAGTTATTTAATATAAATATTATGCACAAAATTTAGAATAGCTTTGATTTTCCAAAATGTTCATTTTTGTTTTTCGTTTATAATACATTGATAACCCACTTTTAAATTATACATTGTTTTTCGTTTCCAAACCATCCAACAACACACTTTTAAATTTGAAATTATTATTTATCTATCTTCATTTTCTCCATAAATCAACTGAAAAAAAATTATTTTATGATTGTTTATGAGATGTTTGAAAAAATTGGGTGTCAAAAAATCTTTTCCCTAAGTTCTCTTTATTTCTTTTATTTCAAAATCAATAATTTTCATTCTTGAATTATCACTTTATGAGTTTTCACTTTTGAATGTAAGTGTTTCAAAGCCTTATGCCACTTCAAGGTATGTCACTTACTTGAGTTTTGCATCAAATAAAGAGTTTAGAACAGAACACAACTTACTCGTATTCATAAGTAAACTCTTTTTGAATAAGTTTTGCAGGATGTAAACTGTAATAGCCACCCATAAAATTATTTTCAATCCAACCACTACTCTCTTAAATAAGTTTTATGACGATCAAAATGAAGTAAAGTTCTTCTTTAGGGGTGACTTATCTCCTTAAATTCCTCAAAAGGAAGAACCAAGCATCAATTGTCCTCCAGTGGTTGTCTTGGTAGTAGATAAAATTTTAACCCAACCCACTCAACTTGGTAAACACTGTCACCCTTAGAAACAGACTCATCTATTGTTGGATAACATGATCGCATTTTTTTGTGCTAGGCAAGCTTTATCAGATTTATTTGATAGTTGTATCTTTCCATATTCTACGGATGATAAATTTTCAAAAATTAGTTTCAAACCATTCCAGAGATATCCATTATTCGCTTTACAAATTATAATACATAATACTAAATGAATAGAAATAGAAATCGTATCTACAGAGTTACAGAAAACCCTACTTGCACGGCCAATGGATTATTTAAGACTGCACTTTTTCAAGAAATTGAAATACTCACTTTAAACTAATAATCAGTGTAAAACGAACACTGCAATTTAAGACAATGCTGCTTTGTCCACATAAAACAAAACCCTTTTTTACCATCAAGACATTATCAACCGAGTCCAGTGCAGCAGCTGTACTGGCTTCATGGTGGTAAATAATATAAATAGTATAAACCTACTGTGCATGCAGTGGCAGATCTTTTTGGGAGCTGAGGGGGTTATGACCCCCAAAGTTTTGTAACTCCCATGTAATTTATGATTTTAAAACCCCAAACATAATGAATATTTAATATATTTATTTGTATATTTACAATTTTATCCTCTCAATCCCTTCTCAGTTTTGTAACTCTAGTATAATTTATGATTTTGTTCCCCTCAAACTTAATGATCATTTAATATATTTAAGTATATATCTAAAATTTTATTTTTTCACCTTTTTATTTTCTTTCTTCCTTTTATATTTATTTATTATTTATTAGTAATAGATTATTTGGTCCACCAATGTGAAGATCTGCCGCTGTGTGCATGGTTCAACACAATTACAGAGTGGGAAGATGGGGACGAAGATCCAATTCCCAGTTCATCAGCTGCATTAGCACTTAATTGCAATAATATATGAAGTACCCACATGTCACAGACACCGGACACGACCCTGGTACACCGTTAATGTCTAAAATATAGGACACGTAGACATGCTGATATATATATATATATTAATCAGCGTGAACAAAATCTCAATTGAGAATTAAGATTTGTGTAATTGACACTATAAAAAAACCAATGACAGTTTATTTTCTGGTCAATGGCTAAGATAACCTAATTACCTTTGCTTACTCTAGAGGAACTCAATCCTACAAAGTGATAGTGATTAATCTCTATAAAAGGACAGTAAAGTAAAATTCACTATATATCTCCCATCACCAAGAGGGTAATTAGTTACTTACACATTGGTAGCACCAGAAACCGCGTTTTGAACTCCTGATTCGGATGTATCCATTGCTGCTGGTAAACAAGTCTCAATTTTAAACCACACCAAGATAGTAGAAACCAAAAGTTAAAATTAAAGCAAAACAAGGGTTTAAAAGTGATAAGACTAATAGAGGAGTTATGTTGCAGTAAACGATTAAAGGAATTAAAAATTCAAATATATTCTATGTTGATTTCAAGCGAAGTAAAAGACAGGAACGGGTGGAAAGCAGGTACCTTGAGGTATTTCCGAAACGTCGGTGGTATCCATTGAAACGACATCGTTCCTCTTCTTCATATTCCTGTTTTTCGCCATGATCGCTGGGAAGAGAGGCGACGGCGCAGAGAAAATGCGTTTGCGCAACCCAAGTACCTGTTCAATGTTTATAATATATTATAGGGTACCAAAATACGATTTTTTTTATATAAAATAATAATAATAAATATTTAATTACTGAAAATGCACTTCCTTCCATTTTATTTATCCAAATAAACAACATTCGAATTTAAGAAACCAAATTTCTAATGGAAAGTCGCCAACTTGTTATGTGATTTTTATTTTTATTTTTATTTTTATTAGAGGTATTATAATATATATATATATATATAATTTAATATTTATATATTTAATAAATATATATTTATATATTTAATAAAGATATATTTATATAATTATATATTTATATTGTTATATATTTGTATATATTTAATAAAGGCATATTTGTATATTTAATATATATATATATATATATATATAAATATTTAATTTGATGATATAAAATATTAAAAGATTAAATATTAGAAGTGTATAATTGAAACAATTTAATATCAAATTTAACTAAATTATAAATAATATATGATAAAAATAAAATAAAAAATCACCGTGTAAGTTGCAAGTTAAATATAAACATTTAATCATGTGTTTATCAATATATGTATTATCTTCTAAGTCGCAAATCATTTTTTCTTAACCTTCATATAATTTTAATGTAAACAAACAATTTAATATTTTCTTGGGTTTGTTCACGTTTCATGCATGAGTGTAGAGCTTGTGTTGTTGATCATAGGTCACATCAACGTCAAATTTTACTGTGTATTAAGTCTAGAATCATCTTTTAGTTTCATACTCGAATTGAATGTCAGCAGTTGATTTCAGTTACTGGTTTGCAAAATTGCAATCTCCGTAATCAAGTAGTTTAGTAATATTTTCAAATAATTAAGCGAAAGATCATGTGTGTTGGATTACGATTGTTATAGGATTACAACATTAATTAGTAAGACTAAAACCCATTTGGAAATTTTATGATGGTTGCACATTGGAGAAAATCATCAAAGTAAATTATAGTTTCAAAGGAAAGGATGTTGTTTTGGTTTGTGGATGAGGTAGAAAGAAGCATAATTATTTCATCAATTGATCTTCTATATTTGAAATATAATTCAATGATAGTATCAAAAAGGGAATTATGACTTTCAATCAATCATATTAGATACATCAATATAAAAAAATATTTCAATAGTATCATATATAATTACATAATCACCTGCTAGTTTTGGTTGACAGTAATACAACCTTTTGATTGAAACATGTTTAAGAATCCCTAAAAAAAATACATATTCTTTCCTTCAAAGCGATGAATGTGCAGTTGTCCGGATTTTGAAAAAGATTAAGAGATCTACATTGAAAGTATACCTCTTCCTCATTTTTTTTTTATTTGACCGTTTGTAAACATTAATGTAAGATAACAATTATCAAAATTTTCAATGTTTATGATGTTAAATTCCTCCATTTTAAGAGTAAAAGGAAGACAAAATGAAGTTTGGACAAATAAATTGATAAGAAAGATGAGTGGACACATATTTGATGATCATATTTGAATTTATAAATGTCATGTAGTGTATTGGGTAGACGAAAATGCCCCTATAATGAATTAGTCTACTTTGTATTGTTAATTGGGCCTTGGTAACATAATGGTGACTTGACTTTGGTGTTAGACAGTGTGTATTAAATGTCGATCATTAAAGTTTGGAGAATCAGTTGTGGGCATTAGTTTTTGCTTACACCTTCAACAAAATATGGTAAAGAGGAATTTTATCATGAACAATATATCATGTACCTTGAGGTTGGCCTTAAGCAGTGTGGGTTAAATCTTGATTGTTGATGATATAATCCTAACCATTACTTTTTACTGATATATTGGGCAACATGCGTTAGTGCGTAGTATAGAGGAGTCTTATCGTAAATAATATATTGTTTGCTTTGACTTGAGTCTTGTGCAACTAGAACTAAATGAATGCATATAAGAAGTTATAATTGATTATAAACGAAGCATTTAATGTTGGCAAAATTTTTGTCATGTATATATATGATACATATTTAAATGTGTTAGGGTCATTATTTATTAAGCCAAATAATCAAGTGATCTGACTAAATTAAAAAGGTTTGGCTAAAGGCATATGTCATGAAAATAAAATTGTGTAGAGACCATAGAGAAATTTCTAATTTGATGAGGGGTCAAATTGGAAATACTAAAACTTAAGTAATTAACTTAATTTTGGTTATTTTAAGGGGTCATGGTCCTCTTCTGGGAGCACGTAGACAGAACACAGTTACAGTCCCGTTCTTTTCTTTCTATCCCCATCAAGAGAGAAAATCAAGAGGGAAATACATGTGTTCTTCAGGTGGAAGACCATAAGATCAATAGTGCTCTAAAAGGGACATCATCATTATGGCTAATTCAGGTACGCTTTCGCATTTAGTTTATAACATGTTTACAGTATGGGATTATTTTATATTTGATCGTTAGATTGAAGATCATATTTAATTATCAGTTTACCCAACAATTGGTATCAGAGCAACCCATACTTGATTCATGTTTGCATTTAGAAATTAGATTTAACAAAATTGAGATTTAAGAATTCCCTTGGAAAATAATCTCCAAATTTTACGAACCCTAAATTTAAATTTGGGGTAAAATCCCCAATTTTAAAACCTAATTTCGAATTTGGGTTAATTCCCAAATCGAGCGAGAGAACGCGAAAACCGTGAACCTTAAACCCCCAACTGCCGCATAGCCTCACCATTCTCTTCAGCGACTTCAGCCCGCCTGGTGCCCTACTGACGACCTTCAACTTCGCTCGCCCACCTCCCGTTCCCGTCCATAATCACCGCGACGTGCTTTGACATCAGCTCTGCGGCCAGATCAACCGGCAGCGGCTCTGGCAGCTCTCGGTCGAGCGACACGTGTCTGCGCTATTCGTGGCGGATTCGGAAATGGGTGAGGAGTCTACGGCTAGGATTTATGGAACATTTGGGAATGGACGGTGGGATGTAGAAAGCACGTGAAGGAACCAGAAAGTATGGTAGGGAGCGATCCCTTGGATGATGGAAAGGTGACACGTGAGGGGATCACGTGGCGTGCGGAGATATGAGCAAAGGGAATAGAGAGAGAAAATAAATAAGGGATTAGGATCTTGTGAGATTTCAACTTGGCACGTGTCAAGGTCGAAGTCCAATGTGAACATCCCCAATAGATCTATCTATTTTCATATCTGAAGAACACTCCTCCACCTCACATGGCCCGCGTCGTTGCAAAGCGCCATGCTGGTAGTAGCGGCGAGCGAACCGCGTTTTGCAACCGTAAGCGGTTGCGTTTGGGAACGGTAGTGAGGAGGATTATAATGGTGAGAATAAAAAGGGGAGAAAATATTTGCAGCATGAAAATAAGTACTGCAGAATTTTGCTAACTAGAGGAATATATATATTTGATTTTATTATATAAATAAAATATTAATTTGTTTGGTAGTTTAATATTTTTTAGAGCAAATTGAGTCAAGAAGTTACCAAAGTAACATCTCTTGAATTGGGTAGTTCGTGAAAAATATTAAATGTTAGTGTTTGTGTATATTCATGCGAGTATTAGTCGGCCCAAAGGAAGATTAATATTTGGCCGAATTGCATATACACTTGTAATGATAAACATGTGATAATTATAAAGATTTGTTTTGTCGATGATAAATCAATCCAAAGACTGGTTTGTTGTTGGACGTGTTTTATTGTCAATGTTTGATTATTACAACAAGATATCTCTAGTAGTTAATATTACTGTCCAAAGACTTGATATTGATGATGCATTGAGTGTCTTGAGATGGGTTAAACCATTATTTGAATATATATTTTATTTATAATTATTTATTTTTATAATGTCGAGCATAATTAATTTATTTCTCTTGTTTTTAATTAGCAACAATTGTTTCGTATCCGCCAATTTAAATTATGTTCCGATCCTCAAAAGTATGTTTCCTATTTTGGTCCGTTCGAAGTCAATTTAGCGTCGATACCTAGTAACACTTGGTGGTTAGACTCAGGTGCAACTACTAACATCAGTGTTTCTATGAAGGGTTGCTTAAGCTACCGGAAGTCAATTGATTCTGAAAGATGGATATATGTTGGAGATGGAAAATCGGTAGAGGTGGAAGCCATAAGGCATTTTAAATTGTTATTGAGTACTGGTTTTTATTTGGATTTGAAAGACACTTTTGTTGTGCCGTCATTTAGACGGAATTTGGTTTCAGTTTCTTATCTGGACAAATTAGGTTATTTGTGTTCATTTGGAAACAATAAGTTCAGTTTGTCTTTTAATTCAGATATTATTGGAACTGGTTCACTTTTGCCTTATGATAATCTGTATTTACTTGATAATGTGACCACCTATAATGAAACCCTTAATACAGAATCACGAGGTACTAAACGTAAAAGTGATGATACTCACTCAGGAGCATTATGGCACAGGCGTTTAGGTCACATCTCTAAAAATAGAGTTGAACGACTTGTGTTAAATGGAATCTTAGAGTCCATTGACTTCACAAACTTTGATGTTTGTGTTGAATGCATTAAGGGCAAACAGACCAAAGCGAAGAGATTAGGTGGATATAAAGCTACAGTCGTCTTAGAGTTGATACATACGGACATTTGTGGGCCATTTCCTACACCTTCGTGGAATGGTCAACAATACTTTATATCATTCATAGACGATTACTCACGATATGCATATTTATTCCTTATACATGAAAAGTCACAATCTCTAGACGTGTTCAAAACATTTAAAGCTGAAGTTGAAAATCAACTCAATAAAAGAATTAAGTCTGTCAGATCTTATAGTGGTGGTGAGTACTATGGCAGATTTGACGGGTCAGGTGAACAACGTCTAGGACCTTTTGCCAGGTACCTAGAGGAGTGTGGAATTGTCCCACAATATACCATGTCGGGATCACCTAGCATGAATGGTGTAGCTGAAAGACGAAATCAAACTCTTAAAG